TAAGCCATTGGAACTGTTACATTTAGACCTTTTTGGACCTTGTAATGTAATGAGCATTGGTGGAAAATACTATGCTTGTGTAGTAGTCGATGATTACACTAGGTTTACATGGGTTCAGTTTCTCTCAAACAAAGGGGAAACCTTTGTGCAATTCAAAAATCTAGTTAAACGATTAGAAAATGAAAAAGGAACCAAAATTGTAAGCATTAGAAGTGATCACGGGGGAGAATTCATATCTGACTGCTTTGATAAGTTTTGTGATGAAACTGGAATCTCTCATAATTTTTCTGCTCCTAGGACTCCACAGCAAAACGGAGTAGTAGAAAGGAAAAATCGTACTCTAATAGATATAGCCAGGACTATGTTGAATGATTATGGGTTGCCTAAACACTTTTGGGCTGAAGCTATAAACACTGCATGCTATGTCATCAATAGAGGACTAATCAGATCCAAACTAAACAAAACACCTTATGAGCTATGGAAAAATAGAAAACCAAATGTGGCATACTTTCATCCTTTCGGGTGCAGATGCTTTGTTTTGAATACCAAAGAGAACTTAGGGAAGTTTGATTCTAAATCAGATGAAGCAATTTTCCTAGGGTATTCTGTTCATAGCAGAGCATATAGAGTGTACAATAAAAGGACCCTCAGAGTTGAGGAGTCCATAAATGTGGTGTTTGACGATTCCCCTAGTGAGTGTGCAGATTTAATTGATGAGGATGATGATCTCGGTCTAGGAAGATCATCTATATCACTTCAAACTAACCAAGCTGAACAGACAACAATAAATGAGGATCTACAAGAAATGACAACTCAAGAAACTGCAGTAGAAACTGATGGTAGCAGGGTCAAGGAAGCTCCTCTACATATTCAGAAACGGCATCCACAATCATTAGTAATTGGTGATCCCAGAGAAGGTATGATTACTAGATCAAAGTTATCTTCTGTGAATGCTGCATTTGTGTCCTTATTTGTTCCTAAGAATATTAAAGAGGCTCTGAACGATGAGTTCTGGACTGCCTCTATGCAAGATGAAATAGGATATTTTGAAAGACTGAATGTCTGGGAATTAGTACCAAAACCTGAGGATAAACCTATAATTGGCACTAAATGGGTATACAAAAATAAGACTGATGAAATAGGTGATATAACCAAAAACAAATCTAGATTGGTAGCTCAGGGATATGATCAAGAGGAAGGAATAGATTTCGATGAATCATTTGCTCCTGTAGCTAGGCTAGAGGCAATCAGGTTATTGTGTGCATTTGCTGCATCTCAAAAGTTTAAACTATATCAAATGGATGTGAAAAGCGCTTTTCTTAATGGAGATTTAAAGGAAGAAGTTTATGTGGCACAACCACCTGGTTTTGAAAATCACAAGTTTCCTAACCACGTGTATAAGCTGAATAAAGCCTTATATGGATTAAGGCAGGCCCCTAGGGCCTGGTATGATAAACTAAGTAACTTCCTAATTCAAGATGGGTTTCGTAGAGGTTCAGTGGACAAGACATTGTTCATAAAAAATCTTAGTGGTCATACTATGCTTGTGCAAGTATATGTAGACGACATTATTTTTGGTTCAACTAGCCCGGAAATGTGTAAACAGTTTGAGTTAGCTATGAAAGGGGCATTTGAAATGAGTTTAATGGGGGAACTAACCTATTTTCTGGGTCTGCAAGTTCAGCAGACCAGTAAGGGAACTTTTATAAGTCAAACCAAGTATCTAAACAATATGCTCGACAGATTTGACTTTAAAAACTTGAAATCAACAGTCACACCAATGGGTTCCACTACAAAACTGTCCTCTGATGAATCAGGAGAACCAGTAAGTGATAAACTGTATCGTGGAATGATAGGGTCTCTACTTTATTTGACTGCAAGTAGGCCTGATATAATGTATAGTGTGTGTGCTTGTGCCAGGTTTCAAAGTAACCCTAAGATAAGCCATTTAACAGCAGTTAAACGCATTTTTCGTTATTTGTCTGGTACGGGTTCACTTGGGTTGTGGTACTCATGTGAATCAAGTCTTGAATTGCTAGGCTATAGCGATTCTGACTATGCCGGTTGTGTGACCGATAGGAAGAGTACATCTGGGATGTGTCACTTCCTCGGCACATCACTTATATCTTGGGCTAGCAAAAAGCAGAGCTCTGTTGCATTATCCACTGCCGAGGCAGAGTATATTGCAGCAGGGCTAAGCTGTACTCAATTATTGTGGTTGAAATACCAGCTTCAAGATTACGGTCTTAAGATAGGTTCTCTTCCCATTTTATGTGATAACACAAGTGCGATAAACATGACAAAAAACCCTATTCAACATTCTCGAACCAAACATATTGAAGTCCGGTATCATTTTATTCGGGATCTTGTTCAAGATGGTAAGATTCATTTGGAATTCATTAATACAGATATGCAATGGGCTGACATTTTTACCAAACCTTTAAGTGCTGATAAATTCTTACCTAATCGATTTGAACTTGGCATGTTTAATCAGGAAGAAATAAATAATCTTTGATTGATAATACGATATTATCTTGCCTTGTTTTCCCTGATTTTCCTCTCTCAATTAATTCTTTCCTTCTAACTCAAGAGGTTCCTAGGTTTAAGTCCAGCCTAGTGTCTATAAAGACCCTTGCTCTAACTCTTCCTGTCCGCTCATATACCTTCAACTGTTCACTTGCTTACCTCATCCCTACACCTTGCTTCTCAAAAATGGCATCGAACAATGCTCAGGCGTCAGTTCTGTTCAAAAATCAAAGTTTTCGGAACGCTGCTACCTACTCTAGGTACCTTCGGCGTTTCCGAGATCACCCTCTCTATCCCTCCTTTTCCATACAACCTTCTGCCTTCTCAAAATACGATTTGAACATCTCTGCTTACATTCATAAGCTTGGATGGGGATCCTTGGTGACAAACCTGCGGTTCAGTCAATGTCCAGAAGCTGTGCGTCTCTTCTATGTCAATCTTCGTCGAGGACCTGGAAGTGAACCTTCGTTTTTCACTACTCTGGTCTATGACTATGAGATCAAGGTGACGCCTGATCTGCTGGCGTCTGTTCTAGGCTTGCCCCATGCTGGCATTAGGGCGGGCACTGACAGTGAGTTTCATCACTTTGGTTTCCAGTTTGATCGGGCATTAGCTTCACTAGCACATGATATTGGCCGTTGGTTTCCGTCTCAACTTGCTGCGGGACGGTTGCCAGATGATCTCAAAGTGCTGTTCTTTTTTCTTACTCGATGGTTTCTCCCTCGAGATCTTTCCAGCACTGATCTTATTCACTCTCCTGATCTTTGGGTTCTCTTCAATGCGCGTGCTGGACGTTGCATCAGCTATGCCTCCCTCATGTTTCAGCACATGATCAAGTTTGGGACTGAATACTATGGTGGTCCTCTGCCATTCGGCCCCCAAATCACCAAACTACTGTATCGTCTCGGCATTGATTTGCGGGACAAGGTCATTGTTTGTGATGTGCTGGATGACCTGCGTCCTCAACATGTTCTGGAACGTGTTGATGCATTGGTTGGCCCTCGTAAGCCTGTCACTGGCTCAGGGGGAGTAATCAGTCAGCACAGTCAGCAACAGCAGGCTGCATCCGCCATGGTAAATGCAGCAGCTGCAGCATTCAAGCAGGAAGCTGGTGCTAGAAGTGGTCCCAAACGGCGGTTGATGATTAACAAGGATCTAATGCTGCCTAAGTTTGTCTATGAGTCAAATCAGATTAGTGATCCTATTAGTCCTGACTCGAACTCTGATGATGAAAATGATCGAGTGTCAAGATATGCTTCACCTCCTAAATATCCCTTCTAGAAGAAATACAAGTAGAATTGTCTAGAGTCTAAGAAGTGTTTGTTTTGGTGTTCTGGTCTGATGTGTTGATCTGGTGTGAACTTTGGATTATGATAATTGAATAAAAGACTCGTTCTTCTAGAGTATGATGCTTTTTGCTTTAATTGCATTTGTTGGAACAGGCTGCACCCACTGTTTGCTACATGTGTGTAGGTGTGCTGAGTTGAGCCACTGACAAGCTTAGGGGGAGAATGTTGAGAGAAGAAAGACAAACTTGCCTGGGCTCAACTAAGGAAGGTTGAAGATCGGAGAAGAAGAATAAAATAGAAGGGTTGATTCTTGACAAGTCAATTGAGGAAAGCAATTATCAATCAAGATCACACCAAGATTCGCTAGGATTAACTGGCAGCAATCATCAACGGTCAAGAGAGGCAATTGTATAAAGCATCAAGCTTGGGGTGGGTTGAGAGCTATCTTTTCCGAGAATCAAAATTAGAAACAGAGGAGTACTGTTAGAGTTTTGATTAGAAAAGAGAGAGACTTAGCCATCAGGGAGATTGCTAGTGATAGTTCGTTGATCGACTTGGGACATCAGCAGGGAGCTGTAGGTCCAGTGAGATTCTGATCAGTGTGACGGGGAGTCACTGTGAGATCAAAGCTGTAAACTGTAAACCCAAAACACAGAGCATAGTACAACGTCGAAGGTCTCGAAACAGAGATCCTTCGACCGTGGATTAGTCGGTGTTAGGTTCAATTAATTGCCTAACACCGGATACCACGTAAAAAGATCGTGTCCGAGTCTATTTTTCATTTTGCTGTTCCTCATTTTATTTCCAGATATTCTTGAGGTTTTTTTGATCAGCTGCAAGTGTGAACTTTCTACAGAACAGGTTTGATTCTTTGGTTCGAAGGAAGAAGAAGGAAGTGGTGTTTATAAAACGCAGAGTTCGACTTAAGAAAATTGGGCCAGTTCTACGTTTGATATCAGAGACCAAACAAAGCCCAATTCAGTTCGGGTGACACGCTGTCGTTTTGACAAACACAAATAGAGAAGTGTCTTTACTCTTTCTTTCGATCTGTTTCTCGATTCATTTCACTCTTCTCACTTGATCTTGCCGAAATCGTAGCTAGGGTTTTCAGATTCCCAAATTGTCGAAGAACAGGGGCGAACCATCGCCTGAGTCTCGCGCTCGACTCCAACAACAGTTTGGAGCATGAAAGAGCTGCTCTCTTGGATATTTGGGACTTCTTCGACGAATATGATGGGATTCATCCACAGCGAAGCGGCGGCGATTGTTGTGATTGGGAAGGAGTCACTTGCAGTAACACAACAGCAGGAGGAAACGTGATCGAGCTTTACTTTGAATTGATGACAACCTCGCACGGCGGCGGCGGTCGGTATCTGAACGCATCTTTGTTTTTGCCTTTCCAAGAACTGAGACGCCTTTACTTGTGTGACCTTGATTTGACTGGTTGCATGGAGAATGAAGGTAACCCTTACAACTTTACAAGGCCATTTGAACCCGCGTCTTGTCGAGTATTACGCGACCTGACTTGTGATGGTGGCTGGTATTATTGGATATGAGTATTAGTGTGAGACGGAACATGGGTATCTACTTCTTTTCCGTTTTGTCCCATTTTTTGCCCATTCTATATCAGTTTCTTTCAATATATATTCATATTTCTCCTATTTTGATTTTTGTTCAACTAGACTAGATTTTTCAATTAATTAGACTCACTTGCCCATTATATTATCACAATTTTCATTCATAAAGTGTTTTCTTTTCGTTATATCATAAAAAATAAAAATTTGCTTATATTTTTTTGCAAATAATATATAAGAGTGGGTTGACCCGCAGTTAGTACGGAGCATGTATGGATATTGAAAATACCCGCCCCGCCTCGTCCGTTGCCATCACTACTTCCAATGCATTATGATTATTCGTGTTTTTCAAATATTTATGACTTACATTACAGAATTGGTTTATTTTATTGGGCAATGTCTATTTTTTACCCAAACCTTTTTCAGATTCTTTTATTTTAACCAAACCTATAGAAATTCTATTTATTATCCAAACGTATTATAATTTATCAAAGTCTGGGCATTCATTCTGTTACCGTTACTTATTTCGTCCACGTGAGAGGTGGGATTTTGTTTTGTTTTTTTTATTATCTTTTTATTAAAATAGTAAATGATGGTATTCTGACCGCCACGTAGGAAGTCAACTCATTATGGTCATACTTAGTCAGCATTACTAACAGAAAAGTTGACGGAGAGTTAACGTTTGGATAATTTTTAGGAATTCAATAGATTTGGTTAAAATAAAAGAATCTGAAAAAGGTTTGGGTAAAAAATAGACATTGCCCTATTTTATTTTACAGGGTTCGAGAAGTTAGCGAAACTTGTTCATCTGCAATACTTGAATTTAGAGTACAACCAATTAAGTGAACGTGAATTGTCGTCTTTAACCAGTCTTTCGTCGCTGAAGTATTTGTCTCTTGAGAGCAATAGACTGAAAGGAGTCATTGACATTAATGGTAAGGATACTAAATTTCATTAAGCTAAACTTTCCTTGTTGTGTCACCAATTTTCTCTAGCTTATATTGATTCTTTCTTTATCGCATCAGAACTAAACAAACTTAGTGGCTTGAGGGAGTTGGATTTGGGGGGAAATGAAATTGAAGGATTTACATCCTTTCAAGGTGTGTATTGCTTAATTCCAAAGTAAATTACCGTTATTCATCTCAATTAATTACAGTCTCCAATTAAACTTAAAATATATTCTTCATGATCATGTGCAGGTGATGAAGATTTGTTGAGATTGAGGCACCTGAAAGAGCTGCATTTATCTGAGAATAATTTCAGTAACATCAGCTCGTTGATCTCTACATTCAGAGAGCTTCACTCTCTCGAACAACTATCCTTGGCGACATCTAAAAAATTATTAGAAGGACTAATAGACATGAAAGGTTAGAAATATATATGATTCTGGTTAGCATACGCTCGTCCATTTTTATTATTTAGATATTTAATTAGTTGGATTTTGAGACATGATATTATCCCCTGATTTCTAGTGGGTGAACCTCTTTTTTTTTTTTTTTTTGCAAAAAGATCGCTCGTATTACCGAGAAAACAGACAGATACAAAATAGTCACATAGCTGAAAACAGCCAAGAAACAAAATTGAACCCCACCAAAGAAGGGGACAACGAAAGGGCTTTTCTTGCCACCAAATGGGCAACCCTATTAGACTCCCGACCCACAAAAATAACCCGAAACTCCTGGAACAAGTCACGCATACTTCGAATCTCCTCCAACAGCATCCCTCCATGGACATCCTCTACCTCACCCTCCCGGATCTTCCCCACGATCACTTGGGCGTCACCTGCAAAAATCATTGACTGGAAACCAAACGCCAAGCACCATCGAAGCGCATCCCGGAAGGCCAGTAATTCCACAAGAGCCGGCTCCCAAATCCCCACATACAGTGCTGCCGATGCTGCCACCACCATGCCCGTGGGATCTTGAAGAGCCCAACCTCCCGCTCCATGTGAACCAGACGCCGTAGCTCCATCCACGAACATGACGAACTCTCCCAACGGAACATCCTGACGGCCTCTGATACCTGAGCCCCCTGAGTAACGACAAGCACCTTGGCCGGTACTAATGCCATCCCACTCTGCAACCTGCAAACGAAATTGAGATAACAACACCGGCACAATGTACTGAGTCAACTCGAAGACCACCCAGTTACGGGCCTTCCAAATGCGCCAGAAAAGGGCTACAACATGCATCATGGCCCCCTGATCAAGCTCCTGCCACTCGAGTAACCTGCGCCAAAAGATCCCAACATTGCAAAGGGGAAAGCGATCGCGAATGGCCAGAAGCCCCGCCCCTTCCCACAATTCCACCGCTACTCGGCAGCGGAAGAAGAGATGTTCAAGAGATTCCCCCTCCTCCCCGCAGACTGGACATGGCTCCAGCCCCCTACCCCCCGAGTACTCAGTGCCTCACCAGTTGGCAAGACACCGCGAACCATCTGCCATATGAAATACCGCAACTTGGGAGGTATGGGAGCCCCCCAAACCCTTTTCCATAGACTACGATCCCACACCTGCACTTTCGCCTTCACCCTTAGCTCCTTATACCTCCGTAGCTCCACTGCTAAATGATAGCCAGACTTGACCGTATAGCGACCTGATTGCTCCCCATTCCAAACCATACGATCAGGCACCGGCGAAATAGGCAACGGAACAGCCAGAATAGCTCGGACAGTATCCTCCTCAAAGATCTGACGTAGGCAATCCACCCTCCAAACCCCTTGATTCGGGCAAATTAAAGACGCAACTGACCCCTCGACCCTAATGATCCCCGGACGAGGCGTCGGGGGAGATGGATGCAACGTTGGCACCCAATTGTCCTTTAGCACATCTATCGACTCACCCGAGCCAACTTGCCATCGCAAACCTTGGACCAGCAAATCACGTCCATGCAACAGCCCCCGCCAGCCCCAAGAAGGTAAAGATCCAGCCTTGGCCACCAGAATAGAGGAGTTGGGAAAGTACTTACCCTTAAACACCCGAGCTAACAAAGAATTAGGCTCTTTCCAAATTCGCCACGCCACCTTTGCCAGCAAAGCCTGATTAAACTCCTCAAAACGCCTAAAACCCAAACCTCCTTCATGTTTACTTAAGCACAACGATTTCCAAGAAACCCAATGAATCCGCCGCTCACCCTGTTTCACTCCCCACCAAAATCTAGCCAAATGTCTATCCAGCAAACGACACAGTGATAGAGGTAGAAGGAAGCACGACATTACATAGATAGGCAAAGCATTAGCAACAGACTTAATAAGGACTTCCTTAGCAGCCCAAGATAAACATCGCTGCTTCCACCCCTGTAGGCGTTGAATAACTCGCTCCTCAATATACCTAAAGGTATCATACTTAGAGCGCCCCACCAGGGATGGCAAACCCAAATATTGATCTGTAACACCAATGGCTCCCACTCCAAGCATACGCCCCATCTCTTCTCTATCCGCTGCTACTGTATTTCTGCTAAAACAAACCGCTGACTTAGACAGATTGACTTTTTGACCACTGAGCTCCTCATACTGCTTCAGAACCCCAACAAGGTGTGCACATTCAGATCGTGAAGCTCGTAGGAACAAATACGAGTCATCCGCGAAGAATAAATGCGAGACAACAGGGCACCGGGGGCTAATCCGAAGACCAGTCAAAACACGATTCGAGATCGCCTGCTGAAGCAAAGCAGCGAAACCCTCAGTGCATATAGCAAACAGTAGCGGAGATAAGGGATCACCCTGCCGAAGACCTCTCGTCGCACTAAAATACCCTGAAGGCTTTCCATTCATCAAAACAGAAAACGTCGGAGAAGACACACACGCCCGTAGCCATTTGATCCATTGCGCACTGAAACCAAGTTTCTCAAGCAATGCGAATAAAAATGGCCATTCCACCCGATCGTATGCCTTCTCCATATCAACCTTAAAAGCCATGAATTTCTGTTTACCTACCCTCTTATTCTTCAGGTACTGCATAACCTCGTGCCCGATCAAGACATTATCCACAATCTGCCTACCACGAACAAAACCATTCTGCCCCGGGGACACAATAGACGGTAAGTAGCGGGCCAGCCGTTCCGCCAAAATTTTGGCTATGACTTTGTAGGAAAATTGACAAAGACTAATAGGACGTAGGTTCCGCATATGTTCTACTCTGTCAACCTTTGGAATAAGAACAAGCCAAGTATGATTACAATTCTTAAGGAGAGAGCTCGTAGCAAAAAAGTGAGCGACAACCTCTATTACGTCCTGTCCCACAATGTCCCAAAACTTTCGAAAGAAAACACCAGTAAAACCATCCGATCCCGGGGCTTGCGTAACACCTATCTGAAAGACGCTACGTCGGATTTCCTCAGGGGACACTGCAGCAGTTAGTTTGGCGTTCATACGATCCGTCACTTTTCTTTCAATGGGTAACGCAGCTACTTTCTCCTGGATCACCTGGGGATCCAAACCGCTCGAGGTAAAGAGATCGCCATAGAAATCACATGCCACGTGCGCCATGTCATCCTCCGCTGTGACCCAGGTACCCGCAGGGTCATAAATACCCTGTATACGGTTATGGCGACGACGCGCTCTGGTGACATTATGGAAATAAGATGAATTCTGGTCACCCTCCTTTAACCATGACACCCTTGACTTCTGGCGCCAGTAGATCTCTTCATCAATCCAAGCTTCCCTCAATTGTTTGTCTAGAGCACGAAGTTTTTCCCAATCCACAACAGAAGCCCCTCGAACAGTCTCCCACTCACGTTGAAGGCTTCGAATCTTTCGCTCGGAATTAGTTTTCCCTAATTTGTTCCAATCATACAGCCGATGTCTTAACTTTTTAAGTTTACACCATAACCGGAACATAGGTGTACCCTCGAACGTCAGATTCCACACCTCCTGGACGATCTCCCTCACTTCAGGATTATTACCCCACCGTTGATCAAAACGGAATAGCTGTTTCCCACGACGTTGAAGTTGTTCTGTGGCTAGTAAGAGGGCTCTATGATCCGATTCCTGATCAGAAAGATGATGCAAAGCCGAAGTAGGTAACTGATCCAACCAACCACTCGAAACCAAGGCTCGATCCAGTCGCTCTTGAACCACCCGTTGCGGACTACTTCTCCTATTTGACCAAGTGTAGGGAGAACCGATAAAACCCAAATCCTGGAGTCCCAAATCATCCACAAATTCACGAAAATTGAGTGAGTGAGAAGGGAGCCATGGGTTTCCTCCTTCCTTTTCACTTGATTCCAGGATCGAGTTAAAATCACCAACAATCGCAAACGGTACGCGCAAACGAGAGCAGTAGTTCTGAATGTACTGGAATTGAAGAGTTCTTTCCTGATAATCACAGCTCAAATAGACAAACACCACCACATAATCCGAATTATCTTTATTGAATTGAAAAGCGATAAAAAAAGACCGACTACAAAGAACTGAGACTGAAATCTCAGTGGACCAACCTATAGCTAGGCCGCCGGCAGTCTGGACGGCATCCACAAAGAAAGTACGAGAATTGGAAAAACCAAGACGCCTCATCTGGCGAGCAACTACACCAGCATTCGACATAGTTTCTGAAAGACAAATAACATATGGCAAATAACTAAATTTCAAAGACTCTAACTGCCGAATTGTCGTGGCCGGTCCAATGCCACGACAATTCCAAAACATTAACTTCATTTATCCTCTTGGGGCCACTCCCGGCTGGCTTCCTCCACCGCATCTTCATTTCCATCTCCATCTAGCTCTTCTTCACACTGGTCCGCCTCTTGCTCTTCCTCACCAAGGAGATCATCATTTTCCAGCCCCACACCCTGCAAAGCAGAATCATCAAAACATAATTTTTTAGGTGGCAGCGACTGGGGCTCCGGTTCTGTCATCATCTCTTGGTTGGACCTCTTCCTGTCAAACATCATCTCTTCCAGCTCACCAATCCCCATCTTGAATCCGGGTTTAGGGCGCAGCGGATGTGATTTGCCAGCACGTCCTGTTCTAGCTTTCGAAGAAACCGAGTCACGGACAGCGGGGGCAGCCTTTGCAGGTTGGGGAGGCTGGGACATCGGCTCCTGTATAGAAATTCCAGAACTCTTTGCTCTTGGGCGGACTGCCCCAGCACTCTTCTTACCATCATCCACCACTTTCGCCTTCCCTTTCTCAGCCGCTGAGTAGCGGCGAGTTTGCTGTCCAGCACTATCACCTTGGGAAGGACGTCCATTTTGACCTTGGTTCTGGCCACCTACCTTGCTCTGCTCCCCACCAAGTCCAGCTGTCATAAATTGCTGAGTTCTTGCAGCGGTTGAGAGCACTTTCTTGTTCAAGACGGCCTCAATGCCCAACAATTCTGGGTCTGCCCCAAGGCCACCATCCATCTGACAATTAAAGAACAAGCACTTATTAATAGAAAGCCAAGAATTGCTCGCATCTACTTGGTTCCAACAATCCTCCCTTCTCAACAGGATCAACTTATCATTTTGATAAAGCAACTCTAACACCTGGACATAAAAGAGCCAGCAACACAAAACCCCTGAAGTAATGTAATTCAACTTAGCAAGAGGGCAAAACAGGGTAGTATGCATGCACAGGGGACAACCAACAGGCAAGAATTTCAAATTAGCAAGGCTAGGCAGTGAGTTACAAAAGCTTTCCAGACCGTCCACATCCCCTGCACTAGACCAAAACACCATCATCCCAGTATCGGCATCTATAGCTTGAAAAGGACAGCGCCAGGAAAACAAAACCAGCCATTTCAGCTTATTACCCCAATTAACACACTTCCGATCTGCTAAAGTTACCCATTCCAGATTGGTTAAATCATTATCATCAAATTGAAGAACCACCAGCCAAGTAAATAGAATCAGAGCATTAGGTAACCCATCAAAATACACAGCAGGATGAGAGCAGACAAATAAAACACGTTGGGAATAAGGTTTAAGCCAGCAACCCGCACCATCCATAATAAAAATTGTAACCGGTTTAAGTTCTATCAAGGATCTGTGCAACACAACACACTGTTTCAACCACATGGAATGAATTCTCAAGACATTATTCAGCACACCATGAAGCCAAACAAAACATTCAGAGGACCCAGACTGCCTAAACATGTAGGGATTGATATTAACAGTAAAGGCAAATTCCTCAACTAACTCAAGAACCAAAGTAAGATCATGCACCATATTATCCATTCTCACATAAGGTTCAATACAAAAACCATCCTTGTAGAGATTATTAGCCATACCATAATCCAATTGCAATGTAAAGCCACGGAAGCAGTATATATCAGGGTAAGCAAATAAATTAAGATCCTCATAATTAATCATCCCAATAAAGCATCCATTGTGGAATCTACTCTGCAAGATTAAGGTTACCTCTGCCTCAGGGTGCATTTCATTGTTAGGGGCCAAATCCAGCTGCTCCACCTCAGCCATAACTTCATCCAGCTGGTTCGGATTCACCCACACTGCTCTCATCGGAAGCATGGTATTTTCATCCAGTCTAAAGCCCAGAGGATCAGCAGACAGCTCCGGTCCATACACTTCATTACCTTGGTGGCGAGGAAAAGAGCAGATCCTTTCCCATGGCCAATTCTCCCACATTTGAAACAGAACAGCAGTAGTCGTTCATATTTCAGCACGACCCTAAATTCCCCAAGCCTTGGATTGCTAGCCGTGAGTCTAGTGCGGAGTGGGAGCTCGATGTTGATTCTCACCCATGACTTGATGAAATATCCCAGGTCCCCACGGGTACCATACAGACCAGTATCAATTTCCTCCCCTAGCTTGGCAGCCAGTCTCCTTCCCAGTTTCACAGTTCTGCACTGAGGCGGAATCGCCCACAGTTGAGCCCAGAAAGGAACCCATGCCAGCCTGTGGAACAACTCCTCTGTCACCGGAGCCCACTCCATCAGCATGAGGACATGATCTTTGATGATCCATGGTGCCCGCTGCAGCACACGATCACGGTCATTTTCGTCTTTGAACAGGAATTGAAATAGCCCCATGTCAGCTTCCAGGACCGCCACAGGAGCACTGCATCTCCACAGATTGTTGACGATGCGTTGGAGCAAAGGAGTCGGCATGTTGTCCATGAATAATCTTCCAATTAGGCTGAGCCTTGTACGAGCCATACTCTCCTCCACATCATCATCCTCGAATTCCACGATTTGGTCGTTATCTCTTGAGGATCCCATGTTTCTTGCCTGAGCCATCCATAATACAAGTAAGTAGCAACACAGAAAACCCAGAACTAGTAATAGCCCCAGCATTCCAGCAATCCCCATCGTTTCACAGGTATGTAAATAGTTAAAGATGGAGTTGAAAGATTCTAACCAGGTGCGAGCTCGAGCTTGAGGGTTGATTAACGACGGCAGCAGATTGCTGATGACGCACAAGTTTGGGATTGATTGGAATCGAAGGAGGTGAGGAATCCCAACCCAGGAGTGCCGATTATTTATAGCATCCTCTGCCCCTCTCTCATCCAAGAATCGTCGGAGCGCCCACCTCTGAGATACAAGATATCTCACGCGGGTATAGTTACGGATAATCATCCTCTCCGATCTCGATCGGATTCGTAGATATCCAGCGTTCCACCAGTTTAATAATCCATCCAGTACAGATCGTATTGTAACGGTTTGCCGATATACATCGCGGCCACCGCCCAATATCAATTTCCCCCCAAAGATGAGGATAATCATCAACCCCAGATCGGGTAATCTAGTAACAACTCCACAAAGGGAGACAATCGGCCCAAATCTGGGCAAAGGAAAAGGGTTTTCACCTTGGAAAACCTCTCTGAATTGGAACCCTAGCGGGGAGAAGGGGAAACTTCCTTGCCGCCCGACGAGAGCATCGAGGAGAGTTTTTTTTTCTTTTTCATTTCCTAATTTGAAAAAGATTTTTGGGATATGCTTTACGTTCCTAGTGGGTGAACCTCAGTCCCCAATTATCTGACTCAAATCATTAATTCACTTAACCTCAAAATAAAAACCTACAATTCTGATTCGTCGGAATTACCCGAATAGAATAATAGATGTGAAAGCAAGCTCGTAGGCTAGTTTTGCTCCACATATATATACTTAATAATTACATTCTTTGTTTTGTTTGTTTTTGTACTGCTACATTTATTTTACTGCTACAGATTTGGCTGGTCTCACCAAACTACAAGGGCTTGGTTTAAGTGGGAATCTCATAGCGAAAGGTAAGTATTGTATCAACTACATACAAATTTGAAAGAAAAAAAAAAGAGTTAAGTTAAGGGTTAATAATCAAAGGGCTGATTGTTTTTCTTCACTCTGTTTTGGATTCAAAGACTTAGCTGCTTTGATAAACTTAAAGACGCTTGATCTAAGTGGGAGGAGTCGTCTTGACCTTCAAGGTACTTCTCGGTTTATCCTGGGGAAAATTGGATGATTTATTGATTGATATACATTAGTTATATTTAAAACTCCATCCAATTCGAAATTAAATAATTCACAAAATAATTCGGGTGAAAATCTCCTTCATAATGTTTAAGTAGTGTCTTCAATCTTCATAACTACATAAGGCCTAATTAGTAACTAGAGTGTACCCCGGCCCGTTGGCCGGTTGCAATACGATAAAGTAATCAACAAAGATTTCAAAGTAGTTTCTTAGTTTTTACAATTAGGAAAGTCAAACTATTTAATTATCGAGAAAATAAAAAATGAGCATCTATCATACATATTACTACATTGTAATCAATACTTTTGTAGATTCTGGTTGAAATTAAAATGATAAGACTCATGCAAGGGAATATCAACTCATAGTAAATTTAATGACAATATTATAGGTATTCCAAAATGACTGGTATCACTTTTTTGCCTTCAAGAGGAGGTGTTGTTCTTTCACGATTTTTATTAGCTTTTAAATTGTCAATTTAGTATTGTATAAAATATAAATTAGTCTAAATAAAATGAATTTTAGGAGTTGTTATTAATCATTAGATTCATACTGATTTATACCTTATTAGCATACTTTCAGTTCATTGAGTAATCTTTTCTCAAGCAACTATAGGAGATTGATCTTGTAATGTTGTAGTAGGGTTGTTGAATAATATTTTCTCAAGCATCCATAAGAGCTCGAACTCATTTTTTATCATAAAATTAATCAAAATAAAATAATTTAATATGTGTTTTAACATTTCAACATAATAAGAAGCATTTTTAATGTTGGAAGAATGTTATATATAGTGAAATTCAATAAGTTTAGAAATATCAAGATTAGGTAGCCCCAAAGTGGCTCTAATTTAAGATATATTCTCACCCTCAAAGCTGGCCAATCCCCAATAGATGAACAATAACATCTTAAGTGCTAAACTAATAAATGAAAAAAATGCAAAGACACAACATGTAGTAATAAAATTAGTTTCTTCCATGTTAGCCAGTTACCAATTTACCTTTAGCCAAAATTAAGGAGGGATCATTAATTTTAGAATTGAGAAAACTACATGAAACTCTGCTATGAAATTTGCAGTATGAAGCATTATGAAAATACATACGGTAGACTTAGCAAGCTTGCTAATTATGATGAAAAAGTCCTTCGATTTTCAAAGTTTCACTTCGTGTATGTTTTATATTGAAAAATAAATAACTAATTTGTTTAGTGTGATTGGTTGTCCTTGTTGTCTTTGTTTGAAGAGACCCGAGTTCAAATCCTTATATTGACATTTTTATATATAATAAATAATTAATTGTCACGACAAAAATATCATTTCTACTTTCACTCTAATTGCAGAAAATTTAAAATAGAGAAAAGTAGACAAAACACTACTATATATTATTGGAGGATTGTTTAGATGCTTGCACACTTAGTTTTTGGCCGAGGTTGTTAGTTCTAGTTTGCCAACAAAGAAAATTTTCCTATTTGGTAACATTTATGTACCTCAAGTCTAAATCTTAGTTAAGCACTCTAGACGTTTAGTTTAAGACTATTGTTAACTTTTTTAGCCAAATTGTTAAAGTTCATAATCCTTCACTAATTTGTCTTTCATCTTTGTCAAACCCAATGAATTTATGACCGTACCGGACATTGTACTGAAAAAATTGCAGTATGATATTTTGTGCTAAAATCATTGTTCAACTTTTAATATCGATTATAAACTCCTACTGATATGATATTTTTATGGACAAACGGCCGATACAATACAATTTCACAAACACGGGCTCGACTATAGACTAACAATTTCCCCAATCCTTTCTCCGTCCTCAGACCTTTGTGTATCCCCTTGGCTAAGGTTTTAAAAGTGGAGTTAATGAACTATCAATCAATAATGTTGATAATTCATAATGTGACCTGTATCCTAAATCCTAACCAAATGATTTATGGGCTGGGATCCAATGCTTAAGCTTCAAAACTTAAGCAATTGCTTAAAACATTCCTATTGGCTGACAAAAATTAATTTGTGTCAAGTGATTCATGGACAAAGTTATAATTTGGGCGAATTTCAAGTGTCTCACCACTTTCATGTATGATTGTTCCCATTTATAATCTTAGCATGTCATATCGATGAACCGAATCGTAAAAACCATCTAGTGTCGTTTAGGTTTATATACTGAACAAATATTATGAATATTTTGTGTCAAGTGATTTTATGCCGTTAAACTGACACCTTATGATATAATTAGTTGCTTTTGGCTGATATTATACCGGTGTAATGCAAAATGAATATATTATTTTATTTGATGTTCTTTAGCAATGACATTAGATACACAATATACAATTGATTAAACTACTAAATGGTATTTCCACTAACTCTGGAGTATAATCATGGGTACGATTTCCTAAATCAATATTGTTTCATTAGTAAAAAACAAATTTATTATATGATATGGTATGTCTTATAAGATTATCAATCCTTACACCATAAAATTTCTAAACTGAAAATGTATTCTTTGGTTAATTCAGCTACCGGTGGAATGAATAATCCTTTTTTTTTAAAGAAGGGATGAATAATTCTAATTTCTAGTGGTGGCTAGTAAATTGGATTTGATTTTTGATTTGTATGGGCCAAGCCCACAACACAGTTAATTGCAGAAAATTTGGAAGAACGAAGTAGATACAAATGTAGAAAGACCAACCAATCCTTCCTAACTATGCGGACAGAACTGGAAATTTTGAATTAAGGAGGTGTTAGCGTGGAACCTCCATATAATATTGGGTAGGATAAGTTTATCTAATTGATACATAAGAAACGACTGTCTCTCTATAGTTTTACCCAATGCATTTTTAATTTACATATTTGTTACAGAACGGTGTTACGTAAACCTTATGTAATGTTTGTGTTAGAATATGACTTGAATTTGATTGAGTTTGTTTTGTGTTTTAGGCCTATTCTGTTTGGGTTTGGGTTTTGTTTTGACATTTTCCTTGTATGTTTGGGAAAAGGTATTTGGTTTTCTGTTTGGGATTAGGAGAAGAGTACTATAAATACTCTTCATCTCCCTAGTCTGTAGTAAGTCAGTCAGGTTAGTTTGTTTGGTTTGTCCGTTACGGAATTTGGTTTGTAACCTGTACTCTCCTCAAAATCAGTGAAATTTGTTCTCCCCTGCCCGTGGATTAGCTAGCACACATTGTGTTAGTAAACCACGTTAAATTTGTGTTCGTTCGTTTTGATCTGGATTATCGTTTGCACGCTTCTGTTCTGACAAGTGGTATCAGAGCCTGGTTGCGATTTTGGGAATTTGGCGATGGACTGAAGTTTTGCTTTGTGGAGTTTGGTTAGAGTTTGTTTGATAATAAGAATGACTGCTATCAGTATGAAGATTGAGAAGTTTACCGGAAGAAATAGTTTCAGTTTGTGGCAGATCAAGATGCAAGCACTGTTGAAACAACAGGGTTTGTGGGCTCCGTTGTCTGGAAAATCGAAGAAGGAAAGCATAGATGAAGAAGAGTGGATTACTTTGGAGGAGAAAGCTCACGCTACAATCTTGCTTTGTTTGGCTGATGATATCATCACCGAGGTTGCTGCTGAGAAGACTGCCGCAGGTTTGTGGTTGAAGCTTGAAAGTCTATACATGACAAAGTCTTTAACCAACAAGTTGCATATGAAGCAACGTTTGTTCAGTTTGCGTATGGAGGAAGGTACATCTCTCAGGAATCATCTAGATCAACTCAATACTATCTTGTTAGATCTGCGGAATATTGATGTTAAAATAGATGACGAGGATGCTGCCTTAATTCTGTTAGTATCTTTGCCACAGTCATATGAGTGGATTCTTTTATTGCTGGGAAAGATAGTTTGTCTTTGGAAGATGACAGATCTGCTCTACATACTAGAGAGGTTCGACATAAGGCGTCTGGTTCGGAAAATCAGGCATCTGGGTTGGCTGCTACGAGTAGTAGGAGACAACAATATGGTAATAGGAAGACGAATACAAATACGAATTCTGCTGGTTTGAAAGATGATATCTGTCATTACTGCAAGGAGAAAGGACATTGGAAATTTGATTGTCCTAAACTAAAGAAATATCAGGAGAAGAAGGAATCATCTGCTGCTGTGGCGGAAGAAACTAACTCTGATTCTGAAGATGGGTTAGCCTTAGCAGTGAATGAACAGGTACATCATCAGGATGTGTGGTATTTAGATACTGCAGCTGATTATCATATGTGTCCAAGCAGGGAGTGTTTTTCAACTTATGAGCAGATAGATGGAGGACATGTTTCTATGGCCAATGGTGCTATCTGTAAGATTGTTGGAAGAGGCTCCGTCAGGATAAGGACACATGATGGTTATGTTCGCACCTTGAACAATGTTAGACATATTCCAGAGATGACTAAGAATCTGATATCTTTGAGTCTACTCGACAGCAAGGGTTTCAGTTTCAAAGGTGAAGGTGGAGTGTTGTCTGTCTACAAGGGTTCTAATGTGATTTTGAAAGGTATCAAACGGGGTGCCTTGTATAATCTACAAGGTTCTGTCTTGACATGCTCTATTGGTGATAAGTGCACCAAGTTGGTTCTGAATGACAAGTCTCAACATGAGTTGGATTTGCCAAATGGTTTGAGTTGTTGACCGCCCTTAGGGGCATTTGGAGGCAGGGGAGGTTCTGGTACAGCTGATTTGGAGGAGTTTGGTACGTCTGACAATTCTGATTGCATATGAGTTTGGGATTTGCATCGTGTTTGAGTTTGGTGATTTCGATCACATCTGGATATCTGGCGACTTGAATCGCATCTGGGTAAATTTGGCGATATGAATCGCGTCTGGGTACATTTGGCAACTTTGGTTGCGTTTGGTATATTTGGTATTTGGGAGAGAATTCAAGTCAAGGTGGAGATTGTTAGAATATGACTTGAATTTGATTGGGTTTGTTTTGTGTTTTAGGCCTATTCTGTTTGGGTTTGGGATTGGGTTTTGTTTTGACCTTTTCCTTGTATGTTTGGGAAAAGGTATTTGGTTTTCTGTTTGGGATTAGGAGAAGAGTACTATAAATACTCTTCATCTCCCTAGTCTGTAGTAAGGTCAGTCAGGTTAGTTTGTTTGGTTTGTCCGTTCCGGAATTTGGTTTGTAATCTGTACTCTCCTCAAAATCAGTGAAATTTGTTCTCCCCTGCCCGTGGATTAGCTAGCATACATTGTGTTAGTAAACCACGTTAAATTTGTGTTTGTTCATTTTGATCTGGATTATCGTTTGCACGCTTATGTTCTGACAGTTTGCTTAAAACAAAATACAACTGCACTTCAAGCGGGTAAGATTGAACCTTTAGCTAGGAGCCTCTTTTTTCTTCTGCCCAGCTTCCTGAAAACAACGTTCGATTTGCACGTTCCTAAATGAATGAACCTATGGGGGAGTGCCGTGAATCGATGAGTATCGCTACTTCTAAATGAACATAGGGGGGTATGGTACAAGAGGGAATGCTAAGTTCACTTAAAAGAGGAATGATTCGCCAGCCAGGGATGGCATATACCCACTACTAGAGCTAGATGTAATAGATTTCATAAGATGCGCGATCTACTTTGTTTGCTTCCTCGTCTCGTCTGTCCTTCTTTGCCCTCAGCCTGTCTTTGAGCTCTACCCCGCCCTTCCTTTGGCTTACTCGCTAGAAGGCGAAGAGCGCACAGTGCCAGAGGCATCCGGAAATGGGAGAATCAACCCTCGCATAAAGAGACGACTAAACTATACGTTGCAGGTTAGTCTAAAAGGGAAGGAAAAAAAGGTGACATACATTCCATTCGGGTTGTCGGTCCAGGGATGATAGCAGTTGGTGGAGGACGGACCCTCTGTTGGTGGATGTAATGGACCCTCTTGAATCTCATGCGTGCGGAATAGCACTTTTTTCTGTACGCGAAGACTCGTATCTTCTATGCGATTGAGAAAAAATCATAGCTTGGCCATAATAAAGTCCGACCACAACGACCGAATGATTATCTTCATGCATAAGGATAATAAATTACCTAGTATAAAAAAGGAATCAAGTTACTGTGATTAAAGTATTATGTAAAAATCAATTTACCTTACGAAACCTTTGCATAACACAAATTGATGTGAAAGCGAATTATAGGTAATAATAAAGGGCTTTTAGTTAATAATAAAAGAATAAAGTTAAAAAATATATCACATTTGATTAAACTATTGTGTACAAAATAACCGATCTTATTTCATGCAAATTGACGAGATTTTCAATACTTTAGTTTGTGATAAAGAGATTTTCGTTCAAACTTATATCACGAAAGACTTGTGTAATGTGTTTGTTTAGTTGATATGATAGAAATATGACTATATATTTCCCATAAGTTTAACGTAGTATTATAATAATTACGGACAACTTACTTAATAGATTTTATTTAATTAATATGTAAGAAATAATTATCTCTCTAATAAGTAACTGTTATGGAGAACAAAAAGCTTACAATAACATTGACTATAGACAATAAAAAACAATGAGAATAGTACCCTAGGGGGGAAAAACTTTTTTTTAATACAACCTCTTTTTTTAGTAAGGTATACTAATTTTAGTTTATATCTTTATATAAAAACTAGCCTGGAACCGCGCTTTGCCGCGGGCTAATCAACCATTATGTTGTTTTAGTTGTCGGTTGAGACTTAATTTCTTTTACTGTGATGTATTTATATGATAATTATTTACTTTTGTATAGAAAAATGGAAACTGTTTATTTCATATGTGTATACCTAGCCAAACATTTCATGTATAATTGTTGAAAATTCTAGCCCGTCTGAAAAGGATAGATCTCTCGGGGAGTTATTTGGTTGGTGAGTTGCCTCAATGTCTGTCGAACCTGACATCACTTCAAATCTTGGATATCTCTGACAATCATTTATCAGGGGACATATCTCGGTCTCCCCTTACAACTATCTTCTCCCTTGAAGTCATTGATATAAATGAAAATATATTCCGGATTCCGCTCTCCCTCTCCCAGTTTTTCAACCATTCTCGTCTTAAGAAGTTTTTAGGGCATGACAACCAAGAGATATACGGAGATGAACGTCAATATGATATGAAACGACGTGGTGCTCTCCTACTTCCCGCACCACGTTTCCAACTGTCATACTTGTCACTGTCTTCTTGGTACAGTAAAACCGTCGATGCAATGTTTCCTAAATTTCTCTACCATCAACATGGCTTAAAGTTAGTTTATATTAGAAATATCAAAATGAGGGGAGTTGGATTCCCGTGGTGGTTGTTGGCTAACAACACCAACTTGGAAGAACTTAGTATCCACAATTGTTCACTTTCTGGGTCTTTTCAATTGCCACCCAATCAAGATTTTGGAAGAATATCTGAACAATTACCAAATTGTTCTAAATTAGAATCGCAGGATGCTAGCAATAATCACCTTTCTGGGAAAATTCCAAGTTCAATTTGGAATTTTCCGAGGCTCGTACTTTTAGATCTTTCAAAGAACAATTTTTTTGGAAGTCTGCCGTCAGGTTTCATTACTTCGCAAATGTTAGCAGTTTATTTGTCGAGAAATCACTTGGGAGGAACTTTAACAAAGGGAGATCATGAGGTTTCTAGTGTTGATAATGACTACTCAAGTTATGAATTATCGGTCTTGGATCTGAGCTACAATCATCTCACGGGTACAATCCCGATATGGATTTCTAAACTGCCTAGCCTGTCCTATCTCTTACTAAACAACAACAAGTTGCATGGTGAAGTTTTAGTTCCTTTTTGTTTGGAGCACTTGAAGTTGATTGTTATTTCTCACAATCATTTTCATGGTCACCTTTCCTCTGCGATCACTACCAATGGAAGCTGCAAGGAAGCACCAAATGTACGAATTGTGTCAAGAGATTTGGAATTTGTCACGAAGACTCACTTGTATACTTACGCTGGAACCTCTCTCTCGTTGATGGTTGGCTTGGATTTCTCTGACAACAATTTCACTGGCGAGATCCCTCCTCAAATTAGTGATATTATGGGTAGCATTAAAGGTCTCAACTTGTCATACAATAAATTGACGGGATCAATTCCACCATCATTTTCAAAGATGTTGGAAATTGAGAGTTTGGATCTTTCTCACAACAATTTGAGTGGTTTCATTCCTTCTCAACTCACAGAGTTAACATCTCTAGCTTCTTTTAGTGTGACATACAACAATTTGTCTAGCAAGTGTCCCCCAAGAGTTGCACAGTTTGCTACATTCGATGAAGCTAGCTATCAGGGGAATCCTTTTCTCTGCTGCACCTTTCCATTGCAGCCCTCTAAACCATTATTCACCCCACTAGCGTCTGACGATCAAGATGATGATGACGACGATGGAGGACGAGGTGGCTTCATTGACATGGAAAGTTTCTACGCAAGCAGTGGAGTGTCTTTTGTCATGGCCTTGTTAATAATCGCGAGTGTTCTTTACATAAATTTGTACTGGCGACGAGTATGGTTTTACTACGTTGGGGTCACCATAACTAGTTGCTACTATTTTGTCGTGGACCATCTCCCGGTACCGGTCAAATACAAGGTGTTGAAACTTCAAGTTTAGAAGCGGATGATATCCATAAATGTCGGGTGATTGTGTTGGAGTAGTACTCTTCTTTCTCATGGGATATTTTGTAATACGATACACTATTGTGACTTATGCACTATTTGGGACCTTGACTGGAAGTATGTACTATTATCTATTTGTCACATATGTACTACTTGGTGAAGTTGATTGAAAGTATTAAGTATAGTTGAATGTGACCGAGATAAAACTACAAGTATAGTAATGATCTCTGATGCATGGTGGCTCTGCCATTTTTCTCAGTTGACGATATCTCACTTAGCCTCTTCTCTCCTAATTACTTTTTTCAACTGGCGCTAAATTCTTAAACACTAGTTAGTTAATGAAATTTTAGACATTACAGATTATTGTGCTTGTATGCACCGAATAAGGTGTTAACTCTACTTCCTTACGGTGACTAGAACTCGTCGTAAACGGAACTTTATGCCTGGTTTAAGGAAAGAAAGTGGTGAGTGGGTAACTGAGGAAAAAGGGAAAGTGGACATAGCTACTTCTTTCTATGGCCATCTTTTCACGTCTGAGAATCAGGTTCTGAACATGGGGGAGCGGGTTGATGCTCTGCCTATCGCCCGTAGTGTTACCCCGGAGATGAATGCTGTCATGACAGCTTTTGTCCTCCCAGATGAGGTTCGTCGAACTGTCTTTGCGATGGGATCTAAGCAAGCTCCGGGGTCAGATGGTTTCACGGGTAAATTCTTCAAGGCCTTCTGGGGGATTGTGGGTGATTTGCTGATTGACGCAGTATGCTCGTTTTTTACGACCAGCAAAATGCTCCGTAGCTTTAATCACACCTGGCTCACGTTAATTCCCAAAGTAGATAATGTGGAGTCTATGAAAAAGTTATGCCCAATCAGTTTATGCCAATTCGTTTATAAAGTTATAACTAAAATAACTAGAATATCCTCATTGGTCACAAATTGATGCATTACTTGAAAATCAAAAAGTAAGGGAAGAAAGGGTTACATGGCTCTTAAGGTTGACATGGAAAAGGCCTATGATAGAGCTGAATGGCCGTTTCTTCTTGCGCTTTTGAACAAGATGGGTTTTAACTCAATATGGCAGGGTTGGATACATGAATGCCTCCGCTCTTCGTCTTTTTCAGTGCTGATGAACGGTACTCCGTCAGTATACTTCATGCCAACCAGGGGATTACGCCAAGGGGACCCTTTATCTCCTCTTTTGTTTGTGCTCTGCACGGAGGGGTTTGCGGCACTTTTGAATAAGGCTATCTCGGATAACCGGTTGGCAGGGGTCAAAGTTGCACCGCGTGCCTCCCGAATCTCGCATTTGTTTTTTGCTGATGATTCTTACTTGTTTCTGCGTGGTACTCTCCAGGAATGTGAGAATTTGGTTGAGGTATTGAATGAATACGAGGAACTTAGTGGCCAGCGTGTCAATCAGGCTAAATCGGCGGTTTGCTTTAGCAAGAATATTACTCTGCCTAACCAAGAGTTCCTAGCTGCGATTTTGGGCGTGAGAGCGGTAGGGGTGCATGATAAATATCTGGGGCTCCCTACTTTGATTGATCGTTCTAAAATTGAGACTTACGGTATTTAGAAGAAAATTTGTTGGCAAGGCTTCAGGGATGGAAGCAAAGGACATTGTCTTGGGCAGCTAAGGAGACTCTTATTAAATCTATTGCTTTGGCATTACCGCTGCATGTGATGTCCTGTTTCAAATTGCCCCTCTCGCTGTGTCACCTTTTGGACAAACATTTGGCTCGCTTATGGTGGGGTGATAATGAGGGCCACTCTCGAATTAGGTGGATGGCCTAGCGTGACATGTGTAGGAGTAAACATGAGGGGGGAATGAGGTTCCGTCGGTTTGAGCATTTCAACCAAGCTCTGTTAGTCAAGATTGGATGGCGTATTCTTGTGGAACCTAACTCCCTGCTGGCCCAAGTCTATAAGGGCAAGTATTTCTCTTCAGGGCACTTCCTCACTGCTAAAGCTCGATCTCGCCCTTCTTGGGGGTGGCAAAGCATCTTGTATGGTCGGGACTTACTGGAGATGGGCCTCAGGTGGCACATTGGGAATGGGCGTTCGACGTCTCTACTTCGATCCCCATGGATTCCTCAACTGCAACTTGATCCTCCGCGGTATAATCCTATGGTTATGCCAGAAGGGGGTGACCCTACAGTGGCAGAGGGGCGTTGGTGTGATCTCAAACTCAGCTAGTGGTTTGACCCCCCTACTTGCCGCATTATAAAAACTATTCCCCTGCCGCGGTAGAACCTGGAGGATAGGTTGATCTGGCACAATACTCCGGATGGGGTGTTCTCGGTAAAGTCAGCCTATCATTTGGCCGTCTCGCTGATAAGAGAAAGGGTCGATGGAAGGCGTCAGCGAGTTGGATGGATAAGGCCAGTTGGATCCATTTGTGGGAAGCTAATATCCCCCCAAGCTTAAGGTGTTTGTTTGGCAGATTCTGAACCGGATCCTCCCCACCACGGAGGCCTTCATTGATAGAAAAATCCCTGCTCATCCTCGGTGTCCGGTCTATTGGGGGTGGTCCGGAAACCATGGAGCATTTGTTTCTGGATTGTTCGGTCGCGCGTGTGCTTTGGGGATATTCGGGGCTGGATTATTTAGGAGAGGGGTTGCCTCGACATACTTCCCCTCTGTTCCTTAAGCGTTTAATGGCTTTAATCCAGCAGCCTCAGCTTCTTATGGCAGTTGTCTCCGTCCTTTGGCGCATCTGGAGATCTCGTAATTGGGTTGTCGTTGAAGGCAAGCAATATGGGTTCCCTGCATTAATGCGGTAGTTTTCCCAGCAAGTTGAGGAATGAGTGGGGTTGCCGGTGGAGGCGCCCCCTAGCTCCCTCGCCCTGTAGTACAACAACCTGGGCTGTCGAGTCCCGCTGCTGGGATTGTGTGTCAATGGGACGGGGCTACTAGGAAGGGGTCTCATTCGGCAGGTGGGTGGGTTCTTCTTGCTTCGACTAGCGATGTTCTTCTGGCCAGTGGGGTCGAGTTCCCTGGGATTGATGAACCGGTTGTGGTGGAACTGCTTGTGCTCCGGGAGGCTATTCTTTGGTGTTTGGGCCATGGGTTCACGGAGGTAAGGTTTGAAGGGGACGCCAAGGTGATCATTGACAAAATCAAGCAGGCATATATTCGAGATAACCAGCTGGGCGCAGTTCTAGAAGAAGTGTTGCAAGTTGTTGGCGGTACCCTTGGGTTTAGTGCTCGATTCATAGGTCGGCGTAGTAATAGGGTAGCCCATATGGTGGCTAGAAAAGCCCTCGCATTGTACCCGACTATGAGTCGTTTATTTATTTATTTTCGGGCCTGGTTGTTGTCCATGATATAACTATATTTGTTTGGAATCAATATATGATTATCTTTTGTCAACAAAAAAAAAGGTGTTAACTCTCTTGTGTTATTATGGTGATAATACCCGTGATCATCTAATAAGAAGTTAGGGTTAGCTAGACACTTTGATTTAAGTAGGTTGACCATTTTTAGTTGGTGCAAATTTTAAATGAGGTTCAATAGTCATTTTAATTGTGAGTTTAAACTACCAATAGGAAAATAGAAATCAATCGCGAAAATATAGTGAATTTTATAAAAAATTGTGTTGCTTATTTTTTATTTTAATTTTTCGGATTTCAAATTTTGGTCATTAAAAATTAGTTTTCAGAATCTAGTCGATGGTCGTCGGCGAATCGCATCGACAACTATTCCCAATGACCAATAGTGTTTTCCATTGTATAGTGGTCGGATTTCAGCGACAGAGATAGGGAAGATGAATGCGTAGCATAAATCGCTTAATGAGTGAGAAAATATATTAGAAATCTCCTAAAACATACTACAAACTTGAAAATGCATACCAGTATTCACCAAAACACAACAATGTATAGTTCCGGGATGCATACTAATTATCAGGAGAATGCACACTAGAAACAGTAGAACGTATAAACAAAATCTCCTAAAGCATACCAAAAGTACTAGAATGCATACTAAAAACCTGAAAATGCACACATGTATTCACCAAGTACATATAACCAAAGTTGCATTCTCATGTTTGCATAACAACTCAATCCAATTCAATCCAATCCATTCAATCAAATCCATTCACTTAAATATCTAACTAATTCAATCAATTTGATCCAAACCCAATTAGATTGATGGATTCATTGATTATTGGCAAATTACAATTTATTACGTTCGGATAAAGTTTCCCTTAAGCATACTAGCCAGGGGCTGAGGGAGAGGGTAATAAGGTGGGTCTCTGGACCCACCCTAGCTCGGGGGAAATGATTAAATTAGGTATAATAGTTAATTGATACTGAAAATTTGGGTGCATGTAGTTGATAATAGTTGATCGAAAGGTCTTGTGTTGTAATCTTGACGATCTCATTTGTTAAACACATGGTATTCAGATTTGTGCAAACTTAAATTCCATATAAGTTGAATTATAAGGGAGTGTGTCAGTATATGGTATAAGATATATGATCTCGTATTCTATGGTTACGATTCTACCATATATGTCTTTTTCATTCCGTTGAAAATCAATTTTACGGTATAGACGCTTATGACCTCCCCCTCTATGCCTTGCGGTAATGATTCCTCTGGCATTACGACCTTTACCATAACGATGCTGCCCATAGATCAAATTATTTCATGAATTTCGTGTATTGGATTTCACTTGACTGTCTATGGCAGTGAACCTCATCCAACAACTCGAGTTATAGCACTATGGTTCTTGACAAAGAACACAATTCGAAAGTGAACGAATGACTAAATCATGAATAATTATTTTGTATAAGATTTATTATTAAACCTCTATCAACAACTCAAGTTATTGGTACTAAACGGTTCTTGAAAAATAACACTATTAAAAAATGAACAACTATCTAAATTGTGAACAATTGTTTGATAAACTTAGAGTGATATTCTTAATAGTTTTGATTACTAATGTATTTTAATTTATCAAAAAATTCAGATGTAACATTATTTCAGGAGTAATTAAATAAT